TCATCCGGATGTTCAGGATTTGCAGATCCTTGATGTGAGGAGAAATCTCAGAGGTTGCAGATCAGAGCGAGACGACCATGAGCTAGCTAACTAAAAACAGCAATGGGGTCGCACAGTTCACTAGCTCCCTAGGTTTCCTCAACCTTGAACGCATCACAGGTGGACGCAGAGGGGCTTCTGTGTGTGTGTGTTTGTTTTGAGACCCCTTAACTCCCATGTGCCGAGTTAGAAGGTGAAAGCCCGTCACGTTGATTAACGTGGCCCAATACCGGTGGCATTTGGACGTCCGGCCACCGTTGATTGGGTCTTGTCAGACCAGCTTGCCTCTTAAGGCATTAGGGCCCCTCATCCAAAATCATTGCAGGTAGTTGTTAGCAAAGAAATGATGGGTGCCATGAAAAAAAAATTGTACAAAACTGGAAAAAGAGTGAACCATGCCGGCTAATGCACTCACTGCCGCACAGCGCTCACCACCGCAGCTCAGCATGCCGCAGCAATGAAGGCAGCTCACAGCAGCCAGCAGCCGCCAAAAGCCGCCCCCACAGCAGCCGCCAAAGCAGCGCAGCAGCAAAGGAAGCACCAAAAGCGCTCTGATGATGAGGCTGTGCTCCAACATCCATAGCCACAGGAGAGCGTCTCATCAACCGTTAGTCCTTAGATGATGGATCGGCAGTGCGCACACGTTTGTCTCTGTGCTCATTGCTGTCCTCAGCGTTCACAGCCGTCGGAGTGCGCTCAGGCAATCGATCATGACTGCTGCTGGCACCAGTTGGAGCGGGGCTCACATTGACACCAGGTGGAGCGGAGCTCGCATTGGGCACTGCTAAGTCAGTTGGTGGCTGATAGATCGCAGCCTGGTTCAAGTTCCCTACATTCGAAGCGGAGATCAATGGCATGGTGCTTCGAAGTCCACGGTGATGTTCAGGGTGCTCATGCATTGTCCTGGAAGCACGATCATGGCCATGAATCAACCAAATCATAGTCAAATTGCAGAGAATCTCATCAGTGAGTGTAGTCTGTTTGTCCGGGATGCGATTGTCATCATACACCAACCAAAATCCATGATACCGTAGTGCTGTGCGGTGATGTCCAGAATTCGGACTGTTTCCCAAATTAAAAGTGATGGCAGCAATGTCATACCTTCTCATGTGAATGTCACCCTCAGCATTGAAGAAACATGGAAAGTAAACAAAATCAGCACCAATGGCAACTTTCTGAACGCACTTCTGATTCAAGCTGTCAATATGTCGATCGAACATGAGGACAAGACAGCTGTGTTCCTGGTCACTTGCGCGGCAAAGACCTGAGTTGTCATGCCAATGTGAAATCAAATCCATGAGCGTACATGCTGGTGCTTGATGATCAATGAAACGTAGCAAAATGGGTGCATGTTGTGTTCCCTTTTCACTTTCCAGCCAGGGGTGTGACACTCCCGTGACGTATTGAAAACGGGTACACCAGCGGCAAGAGAGAAATCTCGGCTGCAGTCTCGACAAAAGGAAGGTGCAGAACTCCAAAATGTCCTGCTGCATCCTTAGATCCTCTGTTGTCCAAGCCCCACAAAGCAGCCACAAAAAGGGCTGGTAATTGATCAAATGCAACGGAACGGGTGTCCATTGACATGCCCCACGTAACATCTCATACCCAAAAGCCCAAAGGGCAGGTTGGAGTCCTCCCACCAAAGGGTGCACCAAAGCAGCGCCTGAAGAGTGGCGTTGGCATAACATACCGTGCCTGTGTCATTCATCAAGATCCTCACTAGGAACTTCGGCCTGCCGTCTGTAACGTCTGTTGGATTTGCTTCATCAGCCCTGATTTCTGCTGATTCTGCGGTCGCAAGGTCGACCTCACAAGTTGCCAGATACTGTGATAGGAGATTTTGTGTAAAAGATTCCACAGCTCTCCCTGCGTCCGATGCCCCACCATCCAAAGGAAGGGTATGGAGCGATTCGTCCCTTCCATCTTCTGAAGGTTCGACAGAGCGTGGAACCGAAGAGTGATTTGAGGTTCTGAACGAAGAATCGCCAACACATTCCCCAAAATGTTTTGCACCTCTCCAAGCGGCAAGCTCTTCTCCTTGCTCGGGGTCAACTTGCGCGCTGACGCATCCCATCTCAGATATGGCATGTTGCGATCTGCATCCACCAAGTTGTATTTCAGACAGTCTTTGTAGACCGCATCCGTCACTTGTGCCTGACTCAACTTCTCCAGCCGCATGGTCAGCGTTTCGATGAAGGTCAGGGAAAGGGTGTGACGCAGGGTCTGGTCCTTGGAGCCCTGGTGCCACGTCTGCGTGGTCGCCAGGAGTGTCGGGATGACGCTCCCTTCCCCTGTATCCATGTAGACCAGGAACTCGAATTCCTGAAGCAAAGCTTGCATGGTCGATTCGTGTCTGATCACCATGCGAGCCACCAAATGGAGCAGTGCTTCTTGCTGCTGTGAAGTATCTGTCGATTGGGAGCTGGAAGGGCCTCGCTTTTTGGGCCTCTTGTTGGAGTCCCCCTTCGGTTCCTTGGAAAGTCCCAATGACTGAAG